TGCTAACTTCCAAAATTATGCAAAAAAATTAGCAAAACAGAATACAAGGAAAAAAATCATCATTTGTATTAAGCCTTTTAAGAATTTGAGATGCCTCCCTCTGATATATATGTGTGTGTACCGTGTGTGTGTGTGTGTGTGTGTGTGTGGTGCGTGTGTATGCACATCTACACACATTGAAACTGGTATGTGGTCTTGTATACTCCCCTTTTCACTTGGAGAAATAATTGATGTTTTCTCATGGCACTCAATATTCTTTGTAAATATGAGTTTTATTGACTACAAAGTTCATATTTGGAAGGTCTCTGCTATTTGGGTTCATGTGTGTTCTCTTCCACCCATTTTGGGGGAGATCAGTGGGCTATTTGCACAAAAGGACAATTTCCATACCCCTTCAGAATCAGTCAGTTTCTCTGTACATCCTCACACATTCCTAATCTACCCTATTCATGAGAATAAGCTCAGTCTTTTTACCAAATTCACAGACAATGTCTCTCTCTCGTTGTGAGGGACTGTTCTGTTGACACTCTTCATCTGTTTCTATCCTCTTCCAGGATCACAGGAGCTGGAGGGCAAATACGCCATTTCCCAGACTCCCTTGCAGCTGGTGTTCTGGCTATGAAGTTGGCTCTGACAAGAAGGCTGGAGATAAAGGTGAGAGATGCTGCCATTGGTACAGGATCCCTAATATAAGTGGGGTTCCTGAGACCCCACAGTGATAAAGGTCAAGTTGACCACAAAAGACAAGAGGGATATGGCCGTTGGCAAAGGCAATAGGGCCAGAGCAGTGACCAGGATGACTTTCCTGAGAGGGATCATACATCATGCATCTGTAGCACTAAATAGATGGGCAACTACTAAGATTGATTTCTTACCTGATGCAACTTGAGATCCAGAACGGTTCTCTCTGAGAATTCATTTCCATACATGTATACACTATACATTTACTTAGCCTTCCCTAACAAGTTCTGTAGCCATTCACAGGATCCTATATCCTGAGGAAACAGGGACAACAGACTGGGGGCAGCTCTGGACACCGTCTTTGAGTTGAATTCCTTGCGTGTGACCTCATTACTTCTCCTCTTGGAGTAAAAAGAGTTCCTTGGTCAGAAGCAATGCTGTGTGGGTATCAAAAACATCTTTGGATCCAGGGTTCTGTGGGGACCCAGGGACAGGTCCCTAGTCAGACTGGGAATTATGGGGTCTGATAAAAAATTTTGACTCGAGTTTATCTTACAATGAACACAATGGGTTCCATGTGCATTCCTTGTATTTTCCAAAATGCATAATTTGGCATGATTTCAATATAATTTCCTGAGTGCATAACTCTCACATTTGTCCTCTGACTCATGGAATGAGGAATACTGTTGTTCCCTGGGGGCCTTCCCTCCAAATTGTGAACCAAAACAATACCGTATCCTGGAAGTGATTGCAGACATCATTACCCTATGCCAACAAAGAGGATCCAGAAACTGTGTTGAAATTGACTCCACTCATATCCCTATTTACCCTGGCTTTTGCCTGTTCAAGTGTGGGGGAAGTTGGGAAGCATAGCTGGATTTTAGGAAACTTAACTTGATAGCAGCTTCAATTGCAAATGCTGTTACAGCTGTGGTGTGTTTTTATGGAGCAAATCAGCATAGTCCCTGGAGTCTGATATGCAGATGACAATCTGGAAAACACTTTTTTTCTTATACCAATAAGCAGACACCACTCAATACAGGTTACTTTCATCCAGCAGCAATACATCTTCACCAGCATCCTGCTGGCTCCCTCAATCCAAACTGTAGGGACCTGATCACTCCACCATCCCATAGACACGACTCTGTTCCACTGTATCGATTAGACCATTCGGATTCAGCAAGAATAGCAAGTGGTTCAGATATCTTGGTTTGTGCTGGAGGGTGGGTGATATGGTTCTCACGAAAATCCAGACCCCAATGTATCTTAGTGAAGATTCTTGGGGCTTAGTCATCTGAGACATTCAAGTCAGCCTCTCCAAAGTCAAAGTCAATTTATACCACTTTGTATTCTCCACCTTTAAGAAAGAAGCACACTACAGGGACACAGCCATTGATCAATGTTTATAGCAGCACAATTCACAATAGCTAAATTGTGGAACCAACCAAATGCACTTCAGTAGATGTAAGGATAGGGAAACTTTGGTATGTATACACAGTGGAACATTACTCAGCATTAAAAGAGACTAAAATCATGGCATTTGCAGGTAAATGGATGAAGTTGGAGAATATAATGCTAAGTGAAGCAAGCCAATCCCCAAAAGACCAAAGGCTGAATGTTTTCTTTGATAATGTTTTCTTTCATACTGGCAATTGGAGGGGGTGGAGCATGGGAGGAGTGGACAAACTTGAGATAGGACAAAGGGGAGGGAGGGGAAAGGAGGGGGTAAGGGGTAGGAATTATGGTAGAATGAGTTAGACATCATTTCCCTAAGTATTGTATAAGACATGAATGGTGTGAAAATACTTTGTGTACAATCAGTGTCTTGAAAAATTGTGCTCTATATGTGTAATATGAAATGAATTGCATCCTGCCATCGTGCATAACAAATTAGAATAAATAAATAAATAAAAATATGAAAGGGGAGAGGGAAGGGGAAGGGGAAGGAGAGGTACTGGGGTCTGAATTAGAAAAAGATATATTCCATGCTTGTGTAATTATATCAAAATGGATCCTACTGTCAAGTATAACTAAAAATAACCAAAAAAAAAAAAAAAAAAAAGGAAATTTTTGAACAAGTAGAAAGAAAGAAGTACCATGCTCCAGCCTGCTGTCAAGCAGCCCTTAAAACTGCTGGTCATTAAAACTGCTGATCAGTGCAGCCCAAAGCCAGAGGAGGTTTTGTAACATGAGTCAGGTTGAAATTTGGTCTTCCTGACCCAAGAAACCCAAAGATGGTAGTGTATTGCTTTCAAACAAGGAATACATTTTACTGCAGAAAAAGAGGTAATCAGTTGATACACACGAGATTCATCGATCCTACCATGGATCCCATCACCCAGGAAAGCCAACCTAAAAAAAGGTAGAACGGCCTTTGGAAGATGCCATTACAGTGGAAGCCGACAGACTGCAGCTTCCTCAATTTAGAGGGCTGTCTTACAAGATGTTGCTTCTACTTTGAACGAGTGACCACATAGGGTACTGTCCTCCCATATCCAGGTTTCACGAGCATAGAACCAGGGCCTGGAGTTGGAGAGTCATCTCACTGTTTCACCTGAGGATGCACACAGTTTTGCTTCCTGTGTTGGCCCGAAGTCACTGGTGCCCTCCCATGTCCCCTTGGCCCACAGTGGACACTGCCCACAAAAGACAGCCGGTAGTGAGTGCCCCAGGAGGAGCCTGAAGTAACCAGAGTCCTGGATTAATAACGGAGCCTGCTCGGCCCTCCCCGGGATGACCCTGAGTCTCCCCTCTGGTTCCCAGGGACACTTGGCTTTTGTGTCAAACCTAGTATCTTCCCCCATTTCCCAGTGACATTTTAAAATACACTCTCTTGTTTCATTCTCATGGTTTAGTTGTTTTATTTCACGATTACTTCTTTGACAGATCTAGAATGGTTTTCAGTGTAAGGTGTTGTAGAAATACAATCACATTTTCAGATGACTCTTCGGTCTTCTCAGCATCGTTTATTAAATAATCCATCATTTTCTTACTGATTTGACGGGCCACCTTTATCATATTCTAAATTCTTGTATACATGCTGGCCTACTTCTGAGCTCTCTAGTTCTCTCTGTTGGTCTGTCTCTCCGTGTGGCGGCACTGCTTTATTTGAATTATTGTGGCTTTACAATGTATGGCAATACCTCAAAGACAAATAATGGCTTTCCAATGCTTGGGTTTTTCACAAGGCCCCTGGGTATTCTTCTGGTTTTGTTTTTCCTCTTGTTCTTTAGGATCATCTTGGCTGTTATCACCCCCCACCACCACCCCAAATTCATCTGGCATCCATTGTTTGTGTAGATTAACTCAGTAGGATTTATTTGTTTTTCTTTCTTTCTCTTTTAGTTTTTCCCTTTCTTCCTTTTCTTTTGTTTTTTATTTGAGAAAGGAATCGGGACCTGTGTTAAGGGGGGACAAGGAGACCAGTTTCTTTGGTTCCTAAATTTACTCTTCTCTTTCTCCCAACCACCACTTCCTTTGAAAACCTCTTTTGGTCCCATAAATTTTCATATTTTTTTTTCTGTAAATAATCAATGTTTAAAAAACTCTAAAATGCATGAAGACAGAAGACCACACAAGAGAGGAGACAAGTCGTGGCTCGTTAGCCATCAGTTGGTTGTACTTGTTCCTATGCTCACTATTCACAGGTATTGAATGGGGACACTAGTAATAAGTTCTTAGAGTTAATGTGAAGTTAAATGAGGTGGCTTTGATTAAATTAGCACAGAGGCTGTGGGGATTCGGCATCCATGGCCCTAATTCTTTATTTCTTCCTATAGATTCAGTTCTTTACTCTGCCTTTGTAGTGCCTCCCACTCCACCCTGGAGTTCAGCCTTGTAACTCAGGATCGCCAGGAGACTGTTGGCACATACAGTACACACAGACTTGGAAGGCACCTGTACCCTGGGACTTGTTCTGGCTCTTGCCTTCTGACACTACCATGAAAACAGGCTTGGGCTAGCCTGCCGGAGGAGGAGAATCACATAAACCAGTTCACCCCAACACCCAAGCAGCCAGCCAGAGATGGGAGTTGACAAAGTATGAACAAAAAGAGCCACCAGCAGAACCCAATCAAAATCACTCCTGTGTGCATCTGCTGTTGAGCTAAAAAAATGGCCATGTTTTAAGCCATCGAAGTTTAAGGTAGCTGGTTTCTCAGCATTATTGTGTCAGCAAATAACATATCAAACTTGATGCAGAGGAGGCACTTAAAAATTATTTATCTGGCAGCACTTTGATGATCCAAATTCATTTTCATTTAAATCAAAGTGACAGTTCCTCATTTAACCCCTCTTCCCTTTATTTTTCTTTTTAAATTTTGTGGTGCTGGGGATCAAACCCAGAACCTCATGCACTTCAGGCAGGTGCTCTACCACGGAGCCACACCCCACCTCTTACTTTGTAGCTCATTCTTAAGTGTCTAACCTAGGTTCACTGCTAAATGAATACACTTATTTGGCAACTTAACACATTTCAAATGATTTCTATACTGATTTTTGTCTCTTTAATCGCAAAAAAAAAAATCAGTCAAAAATATTGAGTCTCCTGGTTGTTAGCATTTTACTTGGGTCTCAGAGGAGATATAAGAGAAATAAGAGACAGAGCCCTTTCTTTAATAACACAAATGCAAAGGATCAGAACTAATTTCAGTGATATGTCGCTGGCATAGAAGTGTTTGGGGCAACTGGGAAATGCAGTCAGTTGAAGTCTAATAGATATAGTCTGTGATTTTTGAATATGAAATGAAGACTTTCTCATGGAAAAAATAAAAAGAATGACAGCATAAATGATCTGTCTCTGTGTTTCACTTGTAACGTGGCCGCTTAGGGGCTGTGAAATGGATGGGGGCCAAGGAGGCTGCGTCTCCACACTCTCACCTCCTACTTTGGCAAATGGTGTCGTGGGCACTTGCCTCCTGATAGAGTGGGTGGAGTTACAGAATGAATGTATCAGCATCTCTGATACTGTGTCTTGAAGGGGTGGGAGGGCTGGGAACAGGATCACAACATCTGGTTTAGCTCTGCAATAACTACTTTCCTTTAGGACTATCCAGAAGTTCTCAATGTTGTTTTTTTCACTTGAAGTCAAAGAATAGATCACCCAATTGTTAGATTACATCCAATAAAATGCGTCCGACTTGCTGGGATGAATGGCACTGATTCTGAATACAAGCACTCCATTTTATTGGCACTGAGAGTGGAGCTCAGACCCTGACCCCCTCTCCCTATTCAGCTGTTGATTAAGATCTGGTGCTATTTTCTAGTCTGACCTTTCCCGGCATGGCATTTAATTATGGCTCCCTGATGAATGCATGCCCAGGGCACTCTGCCAGCTATTATTTCTGAACAGAGCATGTTCATAAGCAAAACCACCAAACCAGGAGGGATGCCAAGGGGTCTGCTAGACATTTAAAGAAGGAGAAGATCAAGAATTCCTCTTTCCCCAGCCGTTTTCTGACACATGCTCTTAATTCCTTTTCATTCATCTCCATTGTAGCCTAGAGAGTCCAACTTCATGTTTCAGAACAAATAAAGATCTACGCCTTTGGCCTGTGAGGACGAAAGCAGGCAACTTCCTAGCGGGAATGGTGTCAGGGTTCATGGAAGAATCCACATCCCCCAACCTGGGCCTGGATTTCACAGACTCAGGAAGGTTTGGTTCTAGAAGGATCCTTCAAAGAATCTCTTCTAGGGTGTTTTCAAATTACCTTTGCTCCAGAAACCAAATGAAATCTGAGGTGAATATATGAAATAAGATTAAACAAAACAGAAACAACTGCTCTGGCTGAGAGGCAGGGTAGAGGTGGTATTTGGTTGTGGAAAGGAGATTTTGCATATGCAAGGAACAGGGCTGGAAACATCACCCATCTTTCCAACTTTCTGTCTTATTTCATTTTATTTTTTTAAGATGAAGAAGTGAAACAATGGTCTGTAAACAGACAGCGAGGGCACGACAAGACAGGGACCAGAGCTCACATATATAACATTCAGTGGGGTGCTCTGTCTAGACTTTAAATACTCCGTGAGAAATAGGAGTAAGTGTGCATCACCAACAGGGACATTTGGCAAGATATACCAATCCTTCTGGAACATAACAGCACTATAATGGAATCAGGATCATTTGCCACATTACTTAATAAGAAAATTCTAATTTTTTTCTTCTTTAATATGTTAATAATGAAAGAAATTTTTGAAAATGCAGCTTAGAAATTAGAAAATAAAAACGAACATATTTCCTTGCTCAAATCCCAAGCTCCTCCCTAGAAGTCACAGCTAACCAATAGAATGCCACCAGAAGAAGAAAATGGCCGTGTGTCTAATTTTATGTCATGAAAGAGATTCTGTTCAGGAACAAGTTAGAAAGCATAGAATTTCCCTTCCTGCATCTATTGATGGTCAAAAGGGTTAAGACGGTTTTGTTTACATCAACTTTATATTCTCCAAAGGATAATGTTTTCAAAGTGACCTCCTAAATGATTAAAAAATGATTGACAATCTAAAAAAAGAAATCTATGTAAATGCTTTATTCTCTGTCCACATAGGATGTTGAAATTAACGTGTTATTTTAAAGACAGCTAATCTACCGCTCACCTAACTGAAATAAAGTACACAACAAAGCTGTGAGATATAAGATACAAAAGAAAAGAAATCCAAAATAAGCTTTTAAATTCATTTACCCTAGTGGGAACATCAGAACTTAGGAATTGATGCTGATCTTTTGTATTAACTACTTTTTATTTTATTTTTTTAACCACAAATACTTGTTCACCTTCCCAGAGAGCAAATCATATTACTGTGTCTAAATAATCAGTGAATAACTAGGTTTTCCCTCTTATCAAAGTACAAAACATTGCTTCACAATGCTAGATCCAGGGCTGGAGATGTAGGTCACTGGTAGGACACTAGCCTAGCTTGTGTGAGGCCCCATGTTCAATCCTTAGCACCAGAAAAAGACAAAAACAAGATACTTGATGCAGATGGTGATGAGATGATCAATAAAAAGAAATGTTTTAGTCTTAAGCAATCTGGAGGACTCCAGAGGGTCGATGCTATCTGAAGTTGCCTCTGGGTGGATGGAAGGTCCTCCACTGTTTGGAACCAAGCTGTAGGAGATCATGAATTCTCAAGATGACTTGAAGGCTCTGAGAAGGAATGAAACAGAATGTCAGGAACCGATAGGGAAAGAACTTACCATCAACACGAAGCTTCAGATGAGCGCCTTTGGAAAAGGAGGCGAAAAGAAAACTTTACTATAAACAATTTCAAAGACGTCTGGAAAATGGAGGTCATGAAATGAAAATCCTTATTTCCTGCCGCATTGAGTCTCCTGCTCTTTTGAATCACGCAGGTTTTTTCCTCTGAGTGTTCTTTACATTTTTCTCCCTCCATGTCTGGTGGTTTGCCTTTCACTTATGGAGCGCCAGGATCTTCTCACTCCCTCCATGATGTATGTAGCAGGCATTTCCTTCCTGTCTGTTGATTTCCAGGTAATTTTGTTCATCTGTTTTGTCGTGCAGAGATTTTAAATTGTGATATCAAACATGCCAATTTTTTTCCTTTATGGGGAAGCTCACATTTCTAAGAGTCTTTCGATATCAATCTGCAGTCTCCTAGTCACAGCCAGACTAGCTGCAACAGCAATCTACACTTTTCATTGAAAATAAATCATTCTAAATTTAAAATGCAAATTTACACAGTCGATGCTTTTGTCTAAGAACATCAGTCCTTATGGGGGAAAATAAAATTCTTCACTTCAACTACACGCAGATCCGAGAAGGCTCCAGAAGGCCTAGATAAATGATGGGTATTTTGAATTGTAAACTGTGGCATGATTTGAAAATCCCATGTTACAAAGCCCACAAACAACTTTATAAATTTTATTTTCTTACCAGTGTGTTCATGTGTCTCCATATGTCTCCTCTTTGCTGTCTGTTGTCCGTAGACATCAAGATACTGTATTGTAGGTTGTTGTTAACATATAAATAATTGTTAAACCTTTATTAGCAACGAACTTCTTTGGGTGAGACCATCCATTTTTATTTCAGGGAAGCGGAAAATAGGAAGAGTAGGTTTTATTGTGAGAGAGAAGCTGGGACAGGTCAGCAAACTCAGTTCTGTGAAAAACTGAGGTCTTTACAGGAAGTCACACAGGGTAATCTAGGAAGGCCAGCGATCACTCCAAAGGTACATGGTACATAAAAGTGAAAGGGAACATATTGGAGAAGGTGGTGGTAGAGGGTGAAGGAAAAAAAAAGAGAGATACAGAATTAAGAAAAAGGTTTGCAAGCTTAGTAAATATGTATTGGTAGTATTATAGAGTTACCATCTATTTTCTCTACCCATTGTGAGGGTCAATATCCCATCCATATTTACATCCCTAGTGATTGACATATAACAGACATTCAGAGATTATTTGCTGTGTATTTTGACATGAATTTTGTTTATGTGCACCCTGCCTTGCCACATACTTGTAAGAATGATACTGAAGTCATCAAAATTAAGGATAAATTTTAGATTTGGGGATTACTATGCTCTGATACTGTAAAACGGAATTGAAAGATGTATCTGCATTTGGATCTCAGTGCCCATTTTAGAGCTTGATTCAGAGATTTGAGGAGTCAATAAGGGTTTTCTGTCCAGGGGAGCTAAACAGGGGTGACAGGGATCAGAGAGACTTTCTCCCTTTATCTCATTGCTTCAAAACAGATGGAAGTGAGGACGGTATCAGAATACAAATATTGTCTAAAATCAGGGTCACAAAGGGCCAACAGATGAGCCTCAGTCCTCATTGCTCCTTTGCCGTGTGTTCTTCAAGAATGCCAGGAGATACACAATTGGCATGCCTGGGTGTTTAGGTTCCTTTTGTGACAAAGCCAAAGAAAGTTGGAAATAAGGATCCAATAGGAAAAAACAGCTCAGAAATAAGCTGAAATGGATGAGGCAGCTCCAGTAAAGTCATAATATTTTGGAGCATTTGGTCCTCTAGGCCAAAATCCCAACATTGCCCTCTGCTAGCTAGGACTATGGGTGAGTATTCTAACACCCAGGGCCCTCCATTTCCCTGTCTGCAACAGTGAGGCTTATGGACTGAGGGAAGCGACATGGGTTGCAGGCTGAGCACAGTGCCAGGCTTGTGTGCATCATTAATACTCTCTGGCTTTAGAAAGCTCCAGTTGTGCAGGGCTCTGGTTTGCTCTGTCCTTGGATTTCTGAAGAGCCACTCTCATATAGGATGGGTGCTTTAGAGCCAAAGGTATCTTGGCTATCAAAGAATCCAGGCTCCCCAGTGGAACTCCCAGGGCAGGAACATTTCTGGATGCCAAACCTGGAGCCTTCAAATAAACACGCCTTCATTGAAAATCGAATGCAACACAGGAGGAAGAAAGGGGTC